TGAAGTATACAATTTGAAACCAATTAGTCCCCCCCCAATACTTTCGTTACATCATATGGATTTCGATTGGTCGCAAGTATTAATATAATATGTAATACAAATTATTAACGTTCGAATTGATTTTTATTTTATTATTATATAAATGAAAGTATCGGTTCAATAATGATCGTGTATCTTCGGAAATGTTTTGTCGGCTTGAAGAAGAAGAAGAAGAAGAAAAAAGTGATTTCACTTATCAATGATTAAGATGTGAAAAAATGATAGAAAACAAAGAACTTTTGACATATTGACCTATATAATATTCTAGAAAATACTCGTTTCAAATGCCATGGTAGGTTAAATAAAAACTCTCTCGTTCATTGCTTGCACATAACAATGTCTCAAAAATTTTCCTCGACGATTGTTAACATTCAGAAAGATCTGATACGTATTTTTCTTCTTTAGATACACGATTTCCTTGTATATAAATTTTGAGAAAAGCTCCATATCTTCCTATTTCCATATAGGTTACTACGCAATGTATTGCCTTTTCAAAAAGAAATATGAAGAGAATGAACCGTTAAAAATAGACAATATTTTTCCTGCCAGTTATTCGTAAATTTTTATCATAAATTATTAATATTTATCTATATATATATATATTTAATAATTAATGAAGGGAAAATAGGATATCGTCTGCCATCTCGAAATTCTTATTACGCTTATCGTATTAACATAAAACATTATCGATATAAATTTGTTAATATCATTTCCATGGCGCTTATTCTTTTTTCTGTTTCATTAAATATCCAATGCATTGATTCACCATAATACAAAGTAATTGAATTAGCATCGAGTTGGTGGAAAATTTAAACCAAATGGACGCGATATCGTTATATGGCTAACACCCAAGGAGAAAATTGTTCGTACGTGGTCAATGACTCGTTTAAGTATCTCATTTAAAAAATTCCTAAATTATTTTTTCTTTATCGATTAATATTTTTTTCGATATAAATGAAAAAAAATTAAATTTCTTTTCTTCAATTAATTCGAACGGAAGAATATATCAAGTAGAAAAGATATATCAAATTTTGTTATTTAAAAAAGTAGTTTAATTATCGAAGCGTATCGATATTTAAAAACAAGAGCGGATTTATACATTATTCATTAAAAAAGTCTATTTCAAGCGTAAAACTTTTCAAATTCAGCCTGTGAATGTACATATGTATTATATATACATATATATTTAACTCTCTCGACGATTCTAAATGAAATATTTCGTGAAAGTAAAAGATTAAATGGAAGTAAATGAACGTTATGTATTTATTCTACTCTCTTTCGAATTGGATCATAATTTTGCTAACGTAGTCGTTTGATTAAAAAGAGTTTTACGCTCCCTTTAATTTAGAATATTTGCTTTTTTTTTTTTTTGGCTAGTAATAAACACTATTAGCTATATAGAATTTTATATATATATTAAGAAACAATGTATGTATTTCTATACGTATTACATAGTAGTAGACAATAGAAAGTAACGAACTGTAGGTGCCTATTGTCGAAAGTTAAGCAGAATCGTGAAGCACGTGCCGATGTTAAGGAGAAAAAAAGTAGATAGTATTTCCATTATCCTTTTAAATACGTAAAAGAAGCGGAAAAAACTAGAAGATAAAAGAGAACGACGCGTTTTCGTTTACCTCGAGATTGAAAAAGGAACTTTTCTTATTTCACTGGTTTTACGCTTTTTATCCTGCGAATATACTTTTTATCCGAATATATAGGAAAAGATATTCGTTGACTTTGAACTTCTTTTGAACGAGAAAAAGTAAAGGATTACAACAATAAAAAAATAGACGTTTTCCGAATGATCGATTGAAACAATTCAAAACCTTTCCTTACGCTTCGTTTCATCTGCGTACTTATCTCTTTTTCTTTGTTCCTTTTTTAGTATCCTTTTTCTTTCCTTTTTTTTTTTATCAGAAAAAAATTTAACAGTCACATTTGTACCTGTGCATGGATTTTTCGGTCCACTTTTCATCAACAAAGAAACGCACGCGCTGTTCGGTAATATTGTAGATGAAACCGCTTAAAACACACACTTATATATATATATATATATATATATATGATCGTTGATATAGATAAAAATATTCCTTTTTCCATTCGCGTGCGCGATATACTACTACGTTACAATATTTCTGTTCTTCATGGCAGACAACTTCAAATGATACGCGATGTACGGGAAAGTAGGAAATGTAAAGCGACAAAAGAGTAACTTCCATCTAGTGCTTTTGAAAAGCTCACGCGACAAGCACGTTCCTTTTATTTTTTATTTCTTTTTTTTTTTTTTTTTTTAATTCTTCTTCTTCTTCGTCTTCTTCATCATCATCGTCGTCTTCGTCAGCTTGTCTCTCTCTCTCTTTCATTTTTTCCTATCCCGTAAGCTTGAACGTATACCTCATCACTTTACACTTTAGTTGGTCGAGAACGAGAACGTTCGTTGAAGAGTAAAATATTAATGTCGAAGCTTCCCTGTTTATTATTCCATATGTATTACATATGTACATGCGTACGTGAGAGATTGCATTCCCAGATAATGCGAGAAACGGAAGTAACTTCAATTGACCCACTTTTGATATGATTGGAAATACAGAATCGTCCTTTTCATCTTTACGATTTTCTCAGATTAAGCAGACACATTGGCGACTCCTTTTTATTTGCATTCTTCCTCTCTTCCATTTTATCTGGAAAACGAACAATGTCTTTATCTTTTATCTCTGACACACAATCCACTGCAATTTACGTTTCTCTGCAATTTACGTATCGCGATAATCGTGTTTTTTTTCATTTCGCGAATAACATGACAAAGAATGATCATTTTCAGTTCGTATGTTAATTCAAACTCGTAACAAAATTTAACGTCCAAAACAATTTCGATGTTATTAATCTTGCTAACTAGTCAGGACAATGTTTTTCTTCATATTGTAAATAGAACACATGAATTTTCTATAGTATTCGTTTACATATCTCGTGACATTTATAAGACTGAATTAATCGTTGATTAATCGAGCGAACTAGTAACGTTGTATAGAAAAATCTAAAGGAATACAATGTTTTTTAGCTAACAATGCTTTTACGTATTGAAACTGTAACGCGAACAAATCTATTTTACCCCATTGGTTAATGTCATTACGATGGTGTTACAATTAGTAATTTCATGAATAACACAAATTGAAAGAGCTATGGAAACAAAGAGATGAATAAGAGTGGGAGAGTAATGTCTCCTAGCTTGATGATATTTTAGGGATGAATACATTGTGATGGAAACAATCTGTTTGTTGTTAGGAAGAACACGTTTGTAGGTAGAAATAAATGCACTCGTTTCGAAAGCGCACAAACAAAGAAAGAAACGTAGTATATACATGTATATATATATATATACAAGTTGAATATGGTGGAAAGTGGAGAAAAGCTGCTGGAAGGTAAATCGATACAACGGTCCACGTAGCATCCAAGACTTCGTCGGCCCTTCGTCTCTACTTCTTAGCCATCTTCTCTCTTTCTCTCATTCTGTCTCTTCTCTGTTCTTTTTCTCTCGGTCCCTATCATGGGGCTTCTTCCAAGGAATGGAGTGGTACTTGTTCTACAAACTTTGTCACGATGGAGCTCGTTAGGGCCGTTTCTCAACGTCTCATCGTGATCACCTACGATTCTTGTAAAACGAAGAAATTAAATGATTTTCATGAGTTAATTAACACTTTCTTTTAAAGACAAGTACCGAGCTTACTTTTATCGATTAATCTCTAATTTTTCTCATTCTTCTTTCTTTTTTTTTTTATTAATATTTGGTTAAGCATTTTAATTTACAGTTACATCGTACGATAATATAGATGTATTTATACTAGAAATTGTTTTCTCTTGGAGACACAGAAAGGTTCTCTTTCAAAAGCATTCACTCCATTCTCCATTTTGTCGTTCATCAGTTATGCGTCGATACAAAGCGATCTCGTTATAGAGGCAAATGATCGTGATAATGCGATTGACTAGCAGGATCGAAGGGTACATTGCTGTAATTTGCTGTCGAAAATCATTGATCTGATCTCTGAAGGTCATTTCCGGTTGATCTAACGGCTTGAAAGCTTTAAAATGCATCTAGAGTGCATCACGTTTAAAAACGGATTAGCCTGTGATTATATAATCGGTCGTATATTAAATATTAATCAAATTGTTTAACCCTTCCTTTTTTTCTCTTCCATTTTCTGTTTGTATTTTTTTTGTTTTTTACATTTCAAGAAAATTGTTGAAAAAAGGGTTCAGAGTTAGATCGAGTTTGAAGAAAGAAAACAGATAACCATAACGCATTGCAACGATTCCCCCTTTTTTTTAATCCTCCCCTAACTGTCCTTTTCTTTTTCCTCTTTTACTATGCAACTCTCTTTTCCTCCCTTTTTGCCCTTTACACAGTACTTGTCTCTCGTACCTCCTACGTTATAACGCGTTCCTTGCTCTTTTTTCGTTCTGCATGGCCCTAAGCAACGTCTACATTCGCTGCTACGCCTATGGTCCATTGTGAAATCGAAAGTAAGGGAAAATTCGGGAGACGACACATAGATAACTTTGCTTTTATACTTCGACAAATTTCTTTTCTCAATTTAATCCAAATAAGTTAGGCGAACTTTTTAACACGTTTTATTGATTTTTTGTTTCTTCTTTTTCGTTAACACGTTGAACGCCACGCGCGATACTTATTATTGAAAAAACAGTTAAATGTCAGTTATCGGTGACTAACACAATTGTTTTTTTAATACTAACGTAAATAACGCGCGTGGGTGATTCGCGTTGCACGCTCAACGTCTTAAGAAATTGTATTGCTGTTATTTTATAGATAAATCAAAAAAGAAACATTGAAAATTTTAATAAATATATCATTTATTTATATTTATTTCTCTCGTTCTGATAAATATATGATAAAAATAACCATATTTCAATTTGATATAAACTTTTATTGTATCTTTTTATTACAGGGTGACGGTACTTGGAGTCCTACTAGGAATCCTTCAATGGGATCGAAGTATTATGTGTATATTTCTTCTATGGGAATACATATTAGGCTATCTCGTGCTTTTCATAGTCTCGATGGCGGTGGAGTTCTCAGTCTGTTTCCTTGCAACGAGGGGAAGCATTTTGGATACTGCAGCAAGGGCACCAATGCAATATATACTTTATATTCGCTTATGTAAGTACTTATTAAAGAACAATATGCTCCTTCCTGTATTACAAGGAATGAACAAGGAAGGAAATATGATCCTATCGATGTCTTGGCTTTTAACATTGACATTTCTTTTTATCTATATTTCGGAAGACGTTTTATTGCGTCGTCGATCATGCAATAAAACAGAAAGATTGATCTAATTCATTGTAATTATTTGGTAGCTGTTAGTCGTGTCGTATAAATCACATTTAACTTTTCCACTTCGATGCAATTGATTAACGAGGTAGGAGGCATATTAAGAATCGTTAAACGAAAGATTCGTAGCACGAGCCTCTTACTTTTGCTTGTACTTGGAATCTCCTAAGGGCAACGGGGCGAATATTAATAAGAGTTAGTTCTCCACCCTTCAGTCCGACGTAATAAACGATCACTCAAGAGGGGAGAAGAAAATTTAGGCTTAGGGAGAAGGAATCGTATATATATATATATGTGTGTTTGTGTGTGCGTGCGTGTACGCACGCTAGCTGCTATATGTAACTCGAGCATGCGGAAAGATTTGAAAAACGACGGATTTATCCTGTCTCGGTAATACATCTACGAAATGTTCTTTTCATTTGTATTTTTTTTTATTTTATATATATTAAACCTTTAAAACATTGCTTGCGGGAAACGTATTTTTACGTTTTTTTGTAGATTGTCACTCGAGTACGAGTCACGTAAAAACACGTATTTATGTTGCTAGGCAAAGCTTTGCGTTTGACCAAATTCACGCGAGATTCACAAAAAAACTCCCGCTACAAGCGTAAATCCACAGGAAAGTTACCCGCATTACTTCCCACCGACTTCTGTAAACACACTCATTTCTTTCGTTAAGTTTTCTTAAATTTTTATACTTTGTGAGCGATTTTGTTAATTTTTCTTTCTGTAAGAACCTTCTATAAAGTATTAGAAAACTTAAAAAAAAATATAGGAATGAAATCGATAAAGTCGTTCTCAAGTTATGGCATGACCAAGGGAAACAGGGATTCATTTATATATACATTTTTCCTTTTTTTCTTTTCTCGTTCGGTTATCTTTAACGCTAGTTTTAAAAATCAATCTTACTTCGACATTCTTTCATTTTATTTCATAAATATTTTCGAAACTGTACTGGAAGAACTACATTTGAACTGTTCTACGAAAAGAGAAAAATAAAGAAAGATAGTTCTGCAGCGTTAACGAATCTGGAACGAATCCAGGAGTGGTCTGATGTTTTCCGAATAAAATCTCTATGGATTCGGGTGGAAAAAAATTCGATGACCTTTCCGAGCACGTTCGATTGATTGGTAGATTCCTTATAAGGGTCGTGTACCTTCGCCAGCGTTTATCTTCCATTTTCTTTCTTCATCTCACGTGCGAATATTCGCCTCGTATTCGCACCGATTTATATTTTTTTTATCATTACATAGTTTTTAGAAGATATTTCGAAAGGATTAAAAAAGATTATGAAAATTTTCTTTATCTATAAATGTATGCACGTGTCTAGTTAGCTTAGAAAAACGTAAAATTAGGTCAAATGCATTTCTTTCAAAGTCGCTTAGCGTTCATTCGTTCCTGCATCGTGGTGTCGGATGAACTACTCTCTCTTTCTATTTATCTTTCTCTCTTTTCTCCTCTTTCTTCTCAGAGGTAGAAATGCTTTTATCGTAAGCTCCATCGAGTTTGATGTTAGTAGAAAGCGTTGCCAATACCTTCAACTTTATCCAACGTAAAGTTGCGACAAGCACATTGACGTTAGCACGTCGTTCGTTTCCTTCTCAACGAACAAAGCTTTCGCCTTTGTTATTCATACAATCGTTAAATAATAGGTCTATCAACGACAATTTTTGTGCATACTTATCGTAAGTACTCTTTCTAGCAATTATTATCATAATATATTTATTCAATATCACGTATCATTGTTTTTCTTTTCAGTCCTCTTATTGGTAGAAGCAGGATGGTTGTGTGCAGGAGTTACCTGGTTAACACGATTCTATCAATCCTGCCCTGTGGACCAAATCAAGGACGTGATGTTGGGTAAGTTCATTAAACCCACGAAGAATTACGTAATTTATACGCACATATGTCTTAATAGAATTATTTATGTAATGAGAACAAAATATCGCGCCTGATAATATGCAACCTTTTATACATCGTCGGTAATTACGATGATAAACGCCATCTATTCGTAAAAAAACCCTTGCGTTAGGCAACCAGTCTTTATACATGCATACACAAATGCGTTGCATTTGCACCCCATAACGATTAACTACGAGACTATGAAAATAATGATAATTAAGAAATTTTTGAAATTTTGTGTATATATCTAACACGTTTTTAATATACTTTTTATTTTGTTTCTTCGTTCAGAGAATTTAAATATATCGTAGGGAGATCGAAAACGTAGGTCGCTACCACGTAGAAACTTGCTAAAATATTCATGGATTCGTAGGTTTGGTGATATCCAATTGGTGTGTGTTGGCATTTGTGATGGTAACGGTATGGTGTACGTACGACGCCGCCGGCAGATCCTGGGTGAAAATGAAGAAATATCAACGTAGCATGAGGGAAGCGGAATCAAGGGGAGGTAGATTACACTACAAACGCAGTGGTAGCAGAAACCGAAATTGGCGACAACGGTAACTATCTCTCTCTCTCTCTCCCTCTCTCTTTCTATTTTACAGAAATATCCATCAGCGATATTTTGTATTTTATGTTTTTTTTATTGAACACTGGTCACGATCGTAAATGAAATATTTGGTAAATTCGTTATCGAGGAATATACGAAAAATGAAATAAATCCGAAAAGAACCACAAAATAATTTCATCGAGTAGTTTAGTTATGTAGAAATTTATACTTAAAACAATATCTTATTCTTTCTTCAAGCTTTCATTATTTACGCTAATACTTGGAAAAGCAATCTGGCTCATATCTTTTCCAGTGACTAGACATTTTGAAGCGATCGATCGAAGCCTATATGAATATACATCATTACCCTTCCGATACGGAGATACTTGATGATATTAATAGCCTAAGATAGATACATTTTTTCGTTTCTATCGCAAAGTAGTAGTGCAAAAATGAAGACTAAAACAATTGGTCGATCGACACGTCTACGTATACAGATTGTTTCGATTTCCTTACAGAAAAGTTATACGTGCCTATCAAGATAGTTGGGACAACAGATGCAGATTATTGTTTTGTTGTATGGGAAATTCCGATCGAAATAGAGTAAGTATTATCAATTAGTTGTTTATCACGTTCAAAAATAAACTTATTAATAAATGTGTCGCAGGAAAGTTGGAGAGGGTAAGAATTTAGAACGTTATTACGATCTTATTGAACGTTTCGTTCCTTCATCGGAACTTCTTCAACAACTGAAATTTTATTACGACTTTTTTTAAAAAAAAAAAAATACATACTATCAAACATTTAAAACACAGTTATTTAATATACCTCGATCGTTAAAGTTCAGAGTCTCTTATATATTATTGCAAAGACATACATTCTTATATTTTTTAAATAATGAAACTGTACTTAACATCTACCAATCGTTATATCATAAACTGTTATATTTAAACACATAATCAAAACAATACTGATTAAATCTAGAGTAGAGTCTAATAGTCTAGGTATCCTCACTATTATGGTGTCCGCTATATTACTACGTCCTATTGATGATAGTTAAACTTTAATATTTCGTTATAAATGCTATTTAAATTGTTTGTGTCTGTTCTGTAATTAATTGTATTGTTATTTACTATATGGTGTTAAATTTAAAAATGTGTTCTGTTTTAAAGTGATGTTCAGCTAACGCGGTGGTATTAGTTTTTTGTGCATTAGTAGATTTACAATCATTTCTATGTTGATCTATTCTTTTTTTGAATTTTTGTTTCATTTGTCCTATATAACATTTGTCACATTCACAGAGTATTTCGATTGATCTAATTTATCAACCTGATCCTTTAATTTGTTGTAAATGGAATTCACTTTTACTAAATTATAAAATACTAGTTTTATATATTAGTGTTTTTAAAGTATTTACTTATTTTAGTTGATAGTGGTTTGATAAAATTATTAGTAAGTATTATCGTTCATTGTGGAAAGAGAAACAAAGATTCAATAATTGGCTAAATACATATTTCTGATTTTTTTTTTCGTATTCCATAGAACTCTTTCGCTGACATTGCCAGACTTTTGAGCGACTTTTTCCGTGACCTTGACGTGGTACCATCGGACGTAGTAGCCGGGCTGGTGCTTTTAAGAAAATTTCAGAAAATCGAAAGAGAACTGATAGTGAAACAGAAGAAAAACGACACGTATGAGTTCCTCTCAGGCGTGCCAGTAACGCCTCGTACTAAGTTTCTCTCCTTGACCGAGGACGGCGATCTGGGCCATTTCCAGTTGGCCATTCATTATATGCACTTCGCCCTCGCTGCCTACGGTTGGCCTATGTTCCTCGTTAATCATTCTACAGGACTCTGCCAGTTGTGCACGAGGTAATCCTTTCTCCAAAATCACGCACTAAGCTTTCATTATACCCGGATATTAGAAGTGACACGTGGCTCGAGAATGATCAATCCCTCCTTTAAACGATCCCAAGTAATCGAAACGGCTTTGTGATTTCTTTATGCAATGACTTATCAAAATACATATTAAATAATTTAATGCCAAGCCGGTATTAGAAACCATTTGTACTCTGTTCCTTGAACTCTAGTGAACTAATATCTTTGTAATGCAATAACATTAAAATTTATAACGAAGCGACATTTAATTTTTCAATTTATTCAAGGTTAAGATGCGCTTGCTTTCCGTGCGGTAATCGTGAGGACGAAGCCACGATAGTGGAAGACAACTGTTGTCAATGTAATTATGCGGCTTTAAGGAAAATGGTTGAAGTTGGCGAAGTTGAAGTTGTTTATGCGACCTTTCACGTGGACGTCGGGGAAACACCGTTTTTTGTAGCACTTGATTACTCGAAAAAAAAGGTTTTACTTATTTTCCTCTTAGTACTTTTTACTCATTAAATATACGAATGAAGTGGCAGTAGAAACTTGGTCATTTTAATTCATACGATGGATCCTCTTCTTTAATGATCGTCGTTTTTAAAATCGTTTATAATGAATTTCATTAAAATTCTTTTATAAAATGTTTCCGTACATATACGTATATCGCGTAACTTTGTACTTTTATTAAATTTTTATTGTATGTGTGTTATTACTCTTGCAATTATCTTCTACTGATTCTTTCGCAAAGTTTTAAACGTTTCAAACTTTCAAATAAGTTTTATCATTAAATTCTTTTATTTTTATCTTGATTTTCAGGTTGTCGTTAGTATACGTGGAACGCTCAGTATGAAAGACGTTTTAACAGATTTAAATGCAGAAGGCGAAGTGTTACCATTAACTCCACCAAAAGACGATTGGCTAGGTCACAAGGGTATGGTTCAAGCCGCAGAATACATACGCAAAAAACTTCAAGAAGAGAATATTATCGCTCGAGCACTATCGAAGGTACTAAGCTAAAACGCGTGTGGCCTAGTTCCTTCTTACTATCGATAGTGTTTTCTGTTATAAACGTTTCGTAGAATTTCACGTATTAAAGCGTGTCAAATGATCAGAATTATTCTATCGTGTATGTAGCGATAAGTAGTAGCAGATCAACAGCTGGTATAAACATTAATTATGTTTGCTTTCAATCGTTTATTTAATAGGATCCTTCGAGAGGCACCGATCATTTTGGATTGACATTGGTTGGTCATTCCCTTGGTGCAGGCACCGCTGCGATACTTGCAATTTTACTTAGGCAAGAATATCCGGATTTGATATGTTTTTCTTTCGCACCACCCGGTGGATTGCTCAGTATGCCAGCTCAGCAATATTCTCAAGAATTTACGACTTCCGTAGTTGTAGGGAAGGACGTTGTACCTAGGATAGGATTACGACAGATGGAAAGTTTAAGGGCCGACCTTATAAATGCGATAAAAAGAAGCGTCGATCCCAAGGCACGTTTTATGTCAATATTTTTTTCCTTTTCTTTTTTATTTCTTAAAGAAAAAAGGAGATCAAAGTCTTTTTGTATATATATTGTTAAAGCCATATACAATATATTTTTAGAATTGACAAAATACACCCATGTTTTATATCCTTTCTCCTTCTTTCTTATTTGTTCCCCCTAAAAGAAAAAGAAGGAAGGAAAATCGATAGTATCAAATTTATAAGTCGCATCCTACTTTTATTTCAGTGGAAAACGATAGCTTGCTCGGTAATGTGTTGCGGATGTAGCTCGACACCCACGTCGGCAGCTAATATGGAGGCTGGTGGATGTATCAGCGAATATCAAAGAGATAAAGATCTAGCACGATCTCAAGCGATCGTACCTACTGACTCGAGTATAGCTTTGACATTGCATAGGCCACTTTTTCCACCTGGTAGAATTATTCACGTTGTTCGGCATCATCCTAACAAGGGCGAGTAAGTATCCGATCTTTTGCCAATTATCTTTACCTGAATCTTTAAATAATATTTCATTGAAGGAACGATCGACGATCGCAATTGAATTAAATATCGTCCAACCAATATCGGTGTGATCCTATCTCTTGTGTGATTTTAATTATAAGACAATAAAATAAATCTATCATTATAGAGCTGGATATCCAAATTTCAGCCGAATTCTAACGAAAAACATTTCTTTTTCATTTTTAGGAAAAAGTATGAGTCACGGTGGAGGTACGTTTGTTTGATTATTTTTCTATTTTCAGGACTACAGTGGGTATTGCATCTTGGAGATATGTCAGTGCGCATGCATCTTCGGTCAATTCCTATAATATTGTTTTTACACGATCTATAGACAGCCCCTCTCTTTCTATTGCACCATATTTGACTCTTTCGTTTCAGATTTAACGAGAACAATTGCCGTTAATATAATAATGCATGAAAGGTGAAAGGGGGGGGAGCAGAAAAGCATTACGATTGTCGACTAATGCGTAGTAGTAATACATTTAGTTATCCATTGTGTATCTCTCTTCCGTTTCTAATAGTAATTCATTAGAAAATCTAATCTTTTAACTAAATTTTCGAAGAGTCTATTCATTGATTGCATGATCCCTAGACAAACAGAATTTAGCATACTTTTAGTCGAGTATCGCTGTATGGCTTAGTCCTTAAATTATTCAAAATAATGATACATCGCGACGTAGAATACAAACAATACATTTAAAATAAAAAAAAAGAACAAAGAAGTATACATTCACAAGCATACATTTATATATACAGGGTAAGCCACGGAACATTCATTTTAGGCCGTACATAGTATCATAATTTTGTACGCAAAATTCAAAAAAAGTTTTATTTATCATTATATACGCCCCCTTATGTAGTTTAACTAAGTAGGAACAATTTGTTCATACAATGTATATTTTACGAATTATTTTGAAACATCACGTTCCGTAACTCTCACCGTGTATATATATATATATATAAAAGTATATTTGATTTTTAAATGTTATCAATGTTCTCAATAGAATTTGTTTAAAAAAGTAAGACAAGATATACGTTGTATGGAATTTCAGGCAGGTGTTGTCTAAACGCGAACCAGTCTACCAAGCATTGTGGGCAGGACCATGCGACTTCGACGAGGTGTTGATAAGTCCAGTGATGATACAGGACCACATGCCGGATAACATGCTGAAGGCTTTGAATAAGGTAAGCCGGGCCGACTCGAGCATAGTCGGGCAGATAAAAAAAGTACAGCATTCTCCGGCTAGTCGAAGTCCCTCTGTAAAGCTGGGCCATTACGAGCCTCTGGAAGAAACTACGGACGATCCTGATATTACCAAGGAAGAAGATACTGTCCTACCTGTAGTTATCAACATCGACGATCGTAGTTCAAATCGAAAACAAGTACACTTTGCTAATCCAGATACTAACGAAAATTCTGCATCTTCTTTTGTCGTCGATGTGGAGGTATACGAACGGAAGGATACATAATAGTTTAGATTTTATTCAAATACAAATAATAATGTGCTTTTCGATTGATTTTTTTTTAATCATATGAACTTTTGATCGAGTATCTTATTTATTATTATTATTATAACTGCACAATTTTTTTGGAATTAGAGTGCGTCTCTTTTTTCCTTTCTTTTTTTCTCTTTATTTTCTCTCTATTTTTGATCTTTTTTTCTTTTCTCTTGTTGTTCTGTGTGCATTCAAATTTTCTTCTTACACGTTTCATATATTATATTAATATTTATAAGGGACAATAATATTAAAGAGTGATAGATCATTTTTAATCCATTAGAGTTCAAACGTAGCTTATTTAGTTACTTTAGATACAGTACACACAATGTATGTTCGTATTTGCTATTCGTCCAATGATTAGGTTACGATTTTTCAATTAATTGTGTGTGTGTGTGTGTGTGTAGTCGTGCTTCCTCGTATTAAGTAAGAATAAATCTCATTTTGATATGTTTTTCGTAGCACATTAGGATTATCCAGGATCATCCTGGTGTTGTCGTGCGTGTAAATACATTCATATATATATAACATCAGTTTGTCGAGTCATCTAGTAATCTTATTTATTTTATTTTTCTTTGGTAAACAAGTAGATATTATTTAAGGATAACGTATGCGCGATTGAATGCAAATTAATGAAATTTATTTAAACATTTCGCTGATAAAAAGCGCACATATAGGAATACGCATCTAGTCGAATTAATGAAATCATTAGATCGCTTAACATTTTTCTAAATAGTATTTGAAGGAAAGCAATAAGCATGTGTTTTGCCTGGTAATGCATGAATATATTTATATTATTGATACGTTTGTATAATAATAGATTTTATATAATTAACACGTTGAGCGCCACGCAAATACTTAAGGAAATCTCAGTCAGGCCACGTGCATTACTTACTATTGAAAAAATAGTTAAATGTCAGTCGCCGACGATTCCAGGCCTGACATTTAACTATTTTATCAATAGTGAGTAACGCACGTGGCCTGACTGGGATTTCCTTAAGAATTTGCGTGGCGCTCAACGTGTTAACACTACGCGTTTACAAATTTCTTTATTTCGTTTCGTTAAGATATCGTTTCTCTTAACTTATAAAAATTACATTCAAAACGATCGATTTATTGCGAGAAAATAATTACGAATGAAATCATTTCAAAACTATTTTAAACGAAATACTCTTTAGACAAAATAATTACAAATATTTTCGATTGATTTGACTTTTGTATAAGTCTACATTGTGTACGCTATTTTTATCAATATATTCTTGATGCCATCGAAAGTATAATTCTTGTTGATTCATCGAATGGAATAATTACCTAATTTTTTTTAACATTCGTATTATTTTAATTTATATTTATGTAAGAGATCAACAGATAAGAAGATATACTATTGCATTTTTTTTTTTTTTTAGTGTCTTAACACCGATATTATAATTTGGATATTTTCACGCGAATAGGTCAGAAACATTTTTCATCGTTATTTGAATATTGCATTAACACGCTTGTAGCTCGTAAAATCGTAGACTAGCATCGCTTTTTTTCTATTTAGTTTCCCTCTCTCTTTCTTTTTTTTTATTTCCTTTTTACGTAACATACGTATTTTCCTGTAGGAACATTTTAGCGACTCATTATACTCAACATATCATAACTTCTATTTATCAAATGCTTATTAACAAACAAATACAGACACACACATATATTTCGTGAAGGAAATAACTTGTTATATGATCCGAATAGTTCGGAATTGTTTATAAAAAAAAAAAACAAAAAAGGAAGGAAGGAAAACAAGTTCGAGATCGATTTAGGGAAAAATAAAGTTAAATTTTTGTAAAAATCATCTCTCTTGTCAGTCTATTATCTTTGGAGTAGGTTAGGCGAAAAGGATAGGATAATTTTCAATAGAAGAAGAAGGTGATAGAAGCAACGGAATGACAGTGGCTTGAGGGTGTGTGGTGTGGATTAGGTGTCAGCGTGCAGAGATCGGACCGGTACCGTACTGGATGTCAATGCACCTACCAATACACCTGCCAATGCATCTATCAATGCGGTAGCAGATGCAACCAAGGATGCAGCCGATGGACCAAGCTCGCGTACATCTTACCAAGTAGATGTAACAACGTATAGGAAAGCATCCAATCAACGACACGTCCTACTACACCATGAAAATACTTGGAAGACACGTGGCCGCGACGCCGACCCCAACGCCGACGCCTATGCCACCACACCCTCTTCCTGCCACGAGACAAGGTATTCAACAAACCAAACGACGTCTCATTAGATATTGGTAATTTAAATATTATGTATGTTTATATATACTTTCTTCTATCTTTTATTTCTTTTTTTATTTCCTTCTCGCATTATTTCTTTTTTGTTTTATGAGTCTAACTCATATATGCTGTGGTTATCTTAATTATTATAATATATTTTATCTTCTTTCCAAATCTTTCTCTCCCTCTCCCTCTCTCCCTCCCTCTCTCTCTCTTTCTATTTATCTATCTATTTTCTTTTTATATTGTATAACATACCTATAAAAAAATTTGTTTCAATTCGAATAATTTAATTTGATTTTTATTTTTCAATTCGACGTTTTTAAATTTCACTGAAATGAAGTACGTTCGTAATCCACGTTCGTTTCATAATTGTCCTTATGCAATTTTCACATTGTACGTTTTTATACAATTCACGATTGTACATCGTGAAAATGTTTATGATCACCTTGTCGCGTATAATTCACTTTCGCATATCCTAACTTCTTCACGTTTCATTTTCATGTAGTTAATTATACACGAATCATTTAACTCCATGTCAATCGTTAGTTTGTATGCAGACAAGTGTTATGTCGATGTGTTAATAGGGTTGCAGTAAGTAAGGGGTTTTCTTGTCAAGAGACCAACTCGTTTTTAGTTTGAATGACACTACTTACTTCCATCGAACACGCATGTTCATCACGCATAGAGTGACACGTCATATCGCCATTGCATTTTTAAGTAGAACAAATTAAAGTGAATATAATTTAAAATAAATATGAGAGCCTTTAAGTGGACAGGAGAATAAACAAAATCTTGCTAGGAATATGCTGTTTCATATTCCATTGTGTTTTTCATGGCTTAACATTTTTCGCTCTCTAGCCACAGTTTTAAACGATTCACTTTTATTTGATCATACTTATACTCTTAAAAGTATTATACACAAGTGCATGTTATGGAGACATATAGTACGAGCTATAGATATATCTTTTAGTTTGATTTAATCATTCGAAAGTTAGAAAATAATTAGCATTTAACAATAGCCATAGTCGAAATAGAAATTGAAGTAGATAAGAAAAATGAATAATTTTCCGATAAGATTGTTAAGAAAATAAAAAAAAAGAACAAACAAAAAAGATTTATTACGCGCGATACGGAAGATATTTTTTATTTACAGCTCGCGGTTACAGCAAGTTAATCATTTTTCACGAAGCAAGTTAATCCTCGTAAAAAAATCCGTTCATACTCCACTATCGTAACATACATACCTATCGTTTGAGCATATCATACATCATTCCTCCCAGCCCCGTTTTATTATCACCACGATATCGATGTGAATCCGATTTATTTTTCAAGAACGTATGTGAATGTTATCACCCTATTGTATCCAGGATCATCTATAGTACATATAAAAGGAGAGATCATTATAGTGGAAGCACTCGAAACATGTGTGTCTGTGTCTCTTTGTGTACGAACGACGAAGAAAGGAAAATTTGATTTTGATCGATTTTCTTCGACCTTCGCAACAGAGAGCAAGAGAGAAAGAGAGTGAGAGAGAGAGGGAGAGGGAGAGCGAGTGAGAGGGAGAGAGAGAAAGAGAGAGAGAGAGAGAGAGAAAGCACGTGAACGTTGAAAAAAAAATAAAAAAACAAAATAGAGGAGGAGTTCTCGCGGTCATAAAGGATAACATGGAAAAATGGCGTATGGATATGTCAGGTTGTAACAACCCTGGGACCAGCGAAGCCACAACGTTTGGCATCTGGACATGCTTCGTCTGCTGAACCATCGGAAGCTCGTGAACCTGCGGAAGTCCAGGAGCTCGAGATTGAACAAGAGATGAGGGCACTTCTCTCACCTTCGACCCCAGTCAAATGCCAGAGCAGTAATCTAGCAGGGACCCCACCTCACAAGCTTTGCCTCGAGACGAGTTTCACATCCCTGCAGAGCCCTACGGAATTCCCGCAGGCTGGTCGAGAACTTAGCGTTGACTCCAGAGGAATACCATGGGAATACGTCAGCTTGGCCAGCGACTTACTCAACACACCACGACCAGACGATAGTAAATTGTAAGGATCCGACAGAAAGTCCTTATCTCGAGTGATTTCGAACCGAGGATCTAACAAAGGATCTACTCTACCTAGGATCTATATAAAAACCTAATTCGCGGAACTATTTCCAATTACTTTTTGACAAACTTTTTTCATTGAACTTTGATTTGAAAATATAAGACTTTTAATTTTCGACTAATGTACTTTTAGCGATCCCTGAACAGGTACGATAATCGGATAATTTAGGAATTTAATGTAAACGTTGCGTTGAAAACAAAATCTTCGAGACACGAGTTTAGGAAAATTCATCTATCACGCTTTTCCGTACTTCATTGAACGCGCTTATTTCACTTCATTTTAAACACGCGACATATTACATTTATCACTGCTTTATAATCTAAACTTATTTACTCGAAGCACCCGAGTAAATCACAGCACCATTCGATCATTCCAAAATATAATCATTTGCAATATTCGTAATGCAAGATAAACGATGATTAAGAACGATCGTGGGTTAAAAAAGAAAAACATCTTTTCCATTGTTTTAGTTTTTTTTTTTTCCTATCCTTTTTGTTCTAGACTTTATTCTGATAATTCATTTCATTCGAAGAAAGATGCTTCTCGTTTGAGTCGAATCATTAAATAATTATATCTTCTCTCTTTCTGATCTTTTTCCTCCATATTTTAAAATTTGTATTCTTTCACTAATAAAGATCGAATCGTCGTGGAGATTGGGAAGATGTCTCTCGTACCGCACCCCTTGCCACCCCCGAAACATTATCAGAAACATCGAGTAATCCACCCTCACCGATACCACCACCAAGACCAATGAGACGCACACCAAAGATTCCGGGAAACTTGTCAACGGCGGCGGACGACCTCAAAAACAATCTCCATTTTGCAATGCTCTCGGCGAAGAATTACTTTCTGAGGGAGGAGAATATTGGAAGTAATAGCAGTAGTGGTAATAGTGAAGCAAGCTACGAAAGTGCCAAGAGTTTGACAACTGATCTTCCGCCGCCTGTACCAAGAAGAAGGGATTCGGTTACCGTTAGAAGGTCTTTTTTGAATCAAATTTCTTCGTTTAAATGTAACAGATTCATTTTGATCAGATCTTCGAAATAATTCATTGTAATTTCATTTCAGAGAGCAAAGGGTATGCACGGCTGCGTGTTGTAGAGACGATCTATCGGAAAATTCATCTACTCGTGCATCCTCTCATTCCTCAAGAGTGTCACGTACATCTCATCACGTGCAAGTAGATTTTCCAGAAGGAGATAATGAAACGAACGGGTCTAGTTTAGATTTCTTTGAAGCTAAGGTTTTCTAAATATAATATTCTTTCCCCTTCATCAATCTTTTAAATCTTTCCAATTTCTAATCGTCCTTTTTGCAGGGCTCGTCCGGTCAACGCGACAGCAGCAACGACGTATTCCTTAGCGTTAGAAGTTCTCCAGAATGTAAAGGCTTGATGGCACCTGCCACTGATCTTGGTGCCGAATGGAAAAGAAGGTTCGATGCTACTGGAATAAGCGGTGATGCATCGTTACCTCTTCTTCGTGGTCTTTCGCCAACACCAACTACCGCACAACACAGTTCTTCGCCGTTCTTTAATGCTAAGCGGAAGAAATATGTTTATCCTATTACATTGATGGGTCGAGGTGAAAGCAGCGTCTAACGAAAAAAAAAAAAGAAAAAAAAAGGAAGCAAAATGATCGACAATTTTTATGATAACTTTTCTAGCCTAATCGAAAGTAAAGGAAAGGTAATATCTTTTTGAAGTCTGTTTAAAAAAAAATAAAAAATAAATAAAAGAAAGGAATCATCGATGACAACTGAGATTAGAATGAAGATTATAACTTGTGCCAATATGATCGTGTTCTCTTGGTTTGAAGTTTCAAAGTTTTTCTAGAAATACGTTTTACGAACAATTAGATTTATAAAACAAGGGCAAATCGATTAGATTATAAGCTTAAAAATGGTAACATTGATTTGTCGATTAAATACTCGTATAACAAATATTTATAAACGGTGTTAGACAATATTTAATCGAATTAATGATCAACGATTGCAATTAAAATATTTAAAATTATTACAATTAATGATTAAGGGATGAAAGTATCCACAGACTAGTTCGTCAATGACGCGAGTCTATAGAGTAGCAAAGTCAATGATTTGATGAATCTACGAAGTAATTTGTCAATATCAAAATTTTAATCATACAATTGACGGATATATAAATAAACATTGAATTATTAATTGCGATTGAAAATTAAAAATTTTAATTGCAATCGTTGTAATAAATAATCGAATTGAATATTGATGAACACTGTGTTGATAAATCTTTAAAAGCGACGATGTGATTAAACACGAACAGTTCTGCATTTAATTGATGTCTTTTATTTGTTTTTGTTTATTTATTTTTTACTTATTTATATAGATTTTATATTTTTCCTGAAGTTAAATTCAATTAAAAGTCTATATGTTTAATTATTATGCATTACGCCGAAAGATTCGATTGTTTTTTTAATTATTATTTTATGAAATGCATTATAAATCATTTACAGATTATAGCTATGGCAAGAATGTTCTATTGAAAAAGGTAATAAAAAAAGATGCAATATGTTCGATAAAAAAAAACAATATTTAAGATTCGTACAAAGTGAAACATCTTGGGATTCGCGGTTAGAGAGTAAGAAAATTGTTTCGTGATTCAAATTACGTACCATGCGTAATGCGATGACACTGGCCTATCGAGTATCGATACTCCTTGTTACAGAATAGGAGCTAATTCATTTTGATACATTTTTAATAAGAATACATTTGTCAACTAGCAGAAGATTATTGCATTTATATATATATATATATATAAATTTATATAAATTATTATACAGATCAAACAATTCCTTATGTTTCAACTCTCAATAAGATAAATATTTGTTTTCTATGTTCTTTTAAGTTCAAAAGTTAAAAATATAAAAAATATAATCTTTTTCATCCATTAGTGATTTTTCATACTAAACATGTTTATAAGATCAAAGAAGGGAGAAAAGAAATTAGTATACTATGATATAAAAAAAAATGAATACACTCCATGACACACAAGATCGATGATAAATTATCAAAGAATATAATGTTTCACAGCAATGTTTTAAATAATTATAATTGAAACATTGTACTTGTGCGTACAAAATAAGTAGATGAAACGCGTGTAACGCATATAATTCTAGTCAATATGAAATATATTTAGAAATGTAATATTTATGGACTTAATTGAAGTCTTAACATATAAAATATCTGTAGAAAGATGCTGTGCAAAGTTGATTTTGATGTAATATGAAATATAATAATTTATAAGAAATAAAAGAATGAAGAGAAACACTAAATGAGCATTTTTTTGGTCTGTTGGATAAATATATTTATAAACAAAAAAAAAAGAAAAAATATTGATTATGTTTGGTAAGTACTCAAAAAAGCTTTATATCTATTTTCGATTTGAAATATGATACAAAAATTGTATACAACATAATGATAAATATATTTAAAAAATAATCGAGAAACAGTAGAGTATATATAAACATATAAATAAATTCAATGTATACAATATAAATTCCTAATAATATCTAATATTTTATTGTATCGCTGTTGCCCACGGAGGTGTCATAGGTTGTGGATTTTGCAAATAAGACATTACAACGGCAGATATTGATAACATGAAATTGCTAAGGATATGTTTAGTACCATCACTGACTCTAGAATTGGCAAAACTAATACAAGAACAATAAAGAGCTAGCCAAGCGCACCATTTCAATCTCATCATTAAACCGCACATACTGAAGATTATTCCGAGAATATTTATGTAATCTGGTATAGAATCATCTCCTGGTTGTGCTTGATTACTTGAAACCGTTGGTTTATAGCGAATTTCCTTCTCGGGACGTCGTGGATCTGAGAAACTGTTCATTCTGAAATATTATTAAAGTAGTTTACATATCTATGCATAGACAAAAACATTAGGTTATATTAAATCACAAGTGGAAAAACTTACATAAATATATGATATTCTACAATTAGAGAAAATGAAAAAGATAATGATTACTACAAATTTAAAATCAATACTTATATATATATATGTATATATTTATAGTTTTTAGTAAAAAATTAAATAAATAAAATAAATTGTATTCAGTCAAAAACTTATTAGTTCTAATCGATTGTATATCGATTACATTCGATATATATAGTGTTAAGAATGATATCTCGAGAATTTAGTTTCTGTTTTTATTTCAGATGGGGCTACGATCTTGTTTCAGCTGTTATATAGAATGTGGTTAAACAAAATTGATAAACTTCTGAATATTAGAAATTTGTATTAAATAGAAATAATAACCTTTTTTTTGTTTGTCATTATTGTATTTATATTTATATAAATAAGTATTTGTATATAAATAAAAAAAAACAATGAATATAGTATCGTGCACCACGTGGGTTAGGAGAGGTGTTGCTGCAGCTGTTCCTGAAAAGGTTAGTTTTCTAAATGAGTTAAATATGACAGATTATTAATATATTGCAAATGTTAGGATTAGATAATAATATTAATAGTAATAATAATTATGATTTACAGGTTGAACTAACAACAAAAGAATTAGAAGAAATTATCAAACAAACACAAGTTGCTTTGCAGTATGTGTATGCAATAGTTTACTCGAAAAAACTTATTCAAGAGATTATTTGTTTACGTATATAAAAAATATTTTCAGGGACGATGATTCGGATAAAGAAGAAGAAGAACAATTAATTAAAGATAAAACTAATTTGGAGAAAAATAAGATTGAAAATGAGCACGATGTGAATAATAGTTCTATGGAAGTAGATGAATATGATTTTGATAAATATGATAAAGAAAGTAAGTTTATTATTATGAATTAAATATTATATTTCTATTTTTCGTTTTTTCACTTTCCTTTTTACGGGTTCGAGTCACTTCTTTACTAACACCTTTTTATATTTATTTAATACTACCAAAGAGGTCTTTTTACCACCTCTCCGGAGTTTACAGCCTACAGTTTTTGTTTTTTCTTTCTCTAGATAGGTCAATTATCCATTACTAATAATCTTAACGTTGCTTGCCTTTAGTGATTAGCTGGGAATTAATAATCCAATGTAACTGGGCTGTTAACAAAACATTATATTTGTATAATAAAAGTTATACATTCAGAGAATATATTTTTTAGGCGGTGATATACATTGTAGTATTGGCAATATAGTGTCATTTGGAGAAGACGGTAAAGATCCTCTTATAAAATCAGAAGAAACAGACGATGATTCAGAGAAAGAAGATGACATAATTAAAAGCGATGATAATCTAGTTTTGATAGGACACATTGACGGTGACGCCAGTATATTAGAAATATTTGGTTCGTTATTATGCTAAACTTGGCAAATAGTATAATAAAAATTATTTTATTTTAATCATTAATTTATCTTTATTCCAATGACAAAATTACAGTGTATAATGAAGCAGAAGGTTCTTTTTATTGTCATCATGATATACTATTACCATCTTTTCCATTATGTATCGAATGGCTTAGTTTTGACCCAAGTGATCCAATGCCAGGTATATAAGTAGTTACACAATTAATTATATATTTTTATAATATATATTATTAATACTGATTTGAATTTTTGTTTAGCCAATTTATGCGCAATTGGAAGTATGACTTCGATAATTGAAGTTTGGGATCTTGACCTAATCGATTGTTTAGAACCAGCTTTTAAACTTGGAAGAAGACCAAATAAAAAAAAAAAATTGACTCGTATAGGTCATAGGGATGCAGTGTTAGATTTGGCATGGAATAAAAATTATACGTACTTATAGTTGGATACTTTTTGTTTATTCATTTCATTTAAACGTATGAACATCATTAAAAAATGTTTATTTTCAGACATATATTAGCAAGTGGTTCGGTTGACCAAACTGTTTTACTGTGGGATTTAGAAAATGGCAAGCCTGCAACTAAATTTAATTCTTTCAATGAAAAAGTTCAGACTCTTGAATGGCATCCATCAGAAACTCATCACCTCTTAACAGGATGTGCAGACAGGTATTTATTATTTTTACTTTATAATGAAATATTTATTGTATTTATTATGTATACATTCATTATATATTTTTTAATTTAGATTTGCAAGGCTGTTTGATTGCAAATTAGAAAGCAATGCTAAAGAGTGGCAAACACCTGGAGAAGTAGAACGAGTTTTGTGGAATCATTTTGATCCAAATTATTTTCTTGTTAGTATATGTATATACATAGTATTGATAACATTTTAATTGCTTTCTATTAAAAAAAATTAATAATCTCATATACATAATTATATGATAAGAATTATAATATTTTTATTGTAGATTAGTACAAATAATGGTTACCTTGAATATTATGACATAAGAGAAGATTCACCAATTTGGCAAACCAAGGCTCATGAAGCAGAAATTACAGGTATTTTTTGTTCTTCAAATAAATTATTAACATTAAGAAACTCTGATCATGTCTGTGTTTCTCTGTTTATATTTTAGGATTATCTCTTAGCTCATCATATCAAGGACTATTAGTTACTTCATCGAATGATAGCATAATCAAAGTATGGGATATTCTTGATAGCAAAGATCCATCCATTATATGGGAAAAGAAGACTAACTTAGGTGCACTGCAATGTCTTGCAGCAAATCCAGATATTCCACTTGTATTTGCTGTTGGTGGCGACAACAAATCTCATAATTTTAAAGTTATAGATTTGTCTGAAATATCAGCAGGTATGTATTTCTCATAATTTTAATGCTTAAATCATACCCATTTTTGGTTTATGTTTCATGAACATATGTATGTATGTATTTCTATGATGTCTTTTCATCTAATACTTTTCAAAATTATAACAGTTAATGATAGATTTAAAAAGAAAGAAAACTCTGTAAAGAGTGAAAGCCAAGGTACAAAAGAAGAAATGATGGAAGTGACTGAAGATATGGGATCCATGGCATTAAATATGGTTAATTCTTTGGGAACTAGTAAAAAAAGAAAAAAATAAGAAATCAATAATAAATTTGGTTTGAATTTTTATATAAGAGATGTAAATAATTTACCTATACTGTACATTCATTATGTACATAATATAAATATCATATAAACATACTTTTCCTACAAATTAAAATTCTATTTTCATAATTTAGATAGGATATTTAATAAAATACAAATGCAATTAGTTTTTTTTTTTCAGGTTTTTATTCGGTTCCTCTTTTTTTGTTTTTATTTACTCTAGTTTATAATATTTTTATGTGACAAGTTCTATATGTTTTTCTACCACAATGAATTACACAATACTGAATAAGGGAAAAAGAGAGAAAGTTTATAATAATTTTAATATACCTGGGGTGGTTGTATGTATAAGAATTATTATTTCTTTTTATTTTTGCAGATAATTTATTTTTTCCCCCTGTAGTAATATAATGTTATTCCCAACAGTAATTTGCAAGAATTAATCATTCTGTACAACAATGTAATTTCATTCTATGTTCTTTACATTTGATAGATTTCAATTTCAATTTTTTTTCCTCTTTTCCTTCTATTTATAAATAGTTTATATCTTAAGAAGGCAGTTGATACTAACTTTGATTTATAATATTCCATTACCATAAAAATATAACTTACAATAATTTAATAATGACAAAATATGTTAATATTAACTATATGAGAATAATTGCCAAACATTATTTATTTAATAACAACATTTGCAAAAAGAGTTTATACAATAAATATGACAAGAAGATTACTTTTGAAATGTGAATTTTAAAAAAGATAAATAAACTCAATATTGATAACTACACCACTCAATACAATGATATATAATGAATTCGTGAAAAAATGTTCTTTATTTTACTTATATAGTATGTTAAAATTCTCAGTAAATTATTGAATATTTATATAAGTATTCACAAAAGGTTTTTCATTTACTTTCACTTTAAATTTATAACTTAGATTCATCGATATTATTTCATTTAGCGCAATAGTCTAACTAATTCAATAATGTATATGATAACTCAATATACTTAAAAAATCATTATATTATCAGTGATTTTTATAAATTTTTTTTTAAATTTCGTAAATGTTTTGAGTCTATAATATAATTTGTATCACGATAGTGTAAAATGGATAAAAATAAATATAAAAATAATTATAGATCGCAGTTTATAGTGATCAGATAGTTATTAAAATCGACTATTAATTGTTGCAATGTAATATTTTGCATTTATGTTTATAAATTTGCATGTTTATGCAAATTCCATTTTGTTATTATACAGGGTAGGTTTGCTATTAGAAATTTATAATAATTATTGAAATGTTCAATTATAAAATATTTAAAAATTATTAAAAAAACCAAAAATATAAACAAAAGACGTAATCTACAAATTATATAAATTATAATTAATACAAAAAAGAGGCGTAACAAGTAAACTAATAAAATATATTTAAATTATTGAGTTTAATTGTCCCAAGACAAATATTTCGATTAAACATGAAAATATTATAATGCAAAGTGTGAGCACTTCAAAATAAAATATAAGATTTCGTTTATTGAGGTATAAACTACATTAAAAATAAAATAAAAATTAATTAGCTACTTCACATTCCATTTTATGCTACAGAAAAAATTAAAAGTACATGATTTATACAAAAAAAAATTGTCTCCATATTTTCAAGTAAAATAGAAATAACATATCTTTTCTTTAATCAAATGATTCAATAAATTGGAATGCAAAAAAGATGTGTATATATACCAGTGCCAGTTATTTGATATATTTTTGCTCACACAAGCACGTCAACTAAAACTATTCATACAATGCATAATGACATCTAATGTGTCATGAGCTCTGTTAAAAAATTTTAATAGTAATAATAATCTTGTAACATACTCTCTGGCAGTGGTTTTTTAAATTTAGTAAAAGTCTAGGACATTATTTATGTTAACAATGGATATAAATTTATAATATTTTTAAATATGCATTACCTGTAAATTAAATAAAATAACACTTTATGATATACGAACCAATTTGGTATAAGAGCTTTTTAAACAAACATTAATAATTATGTAACATTCACAATTAGTAAATAAACATAAGATGATTAAGTACAATTTCTTCTTAAATCACAAGTAACTTGTCTTAAATAGTGCTGATCATTACGAAAAAAGTATTTAAAAAAAACATTCCATTGATAGCATAAAATACCTGACTTATTGTGTAGCTGTAATAGATGACAAAGTTGTTGCTTTTGCCCACAAGATGTACGACTGTACATGGAAAGTGACATATAATATATTAATTATAATAATCCACACATATATGTGACATAGTATTGACCTAGGCATCAGTTCCTATATCCAGACTTCTAGAGTCTTGATTGGAATCATGCTGACTTCCGTTTTCAGAAGAAGCACTGCTGGAAATACCAGACTGATCCGAACTTTTTTTAACTTTGGGTTTATATTCAGTAATAACAACGGTAACGTTATTTACCGTTACTTCATTGGTTTGAGCCGTACTACGATCTATATTTTTAAGACGTGGTGGATGCCTACTCTTACGCCTTGGTTTGTCCAGTTTGCGGTCTTTTTCTTTTCCACTGCTAGTCGTACTACCACCACTACTTCCTTCTTTTTTTCCAGGCTTTAACAGTGGCACATATTGTTGTTGTGCAACCTAAATGACAAATTTAGTAATAAATTAATTGATAAGATGATAAGAGTAAGATTTAATATTAAATGATAAATAATGCAAATGAAATAACCGACCTGTTGTGCCACTAACTGAGGATTAATGCGGGGTTTCCGCGTAGAAGTTCCTTTACGGACGTCACACATGAGGCACTTAAATGCTTCCGCTGTATTTCTATACGTGCAGACACTGCAGTCCCAATAATTTTCTTCCAAAACCTTCGCCTGACGTTTTCCACTTCCGGAATGGTTCATTGTTCATCAAAGTCAGTCGTTAAACACTGTACTTTCTCAAAAGAGAGTTTGCTTTCTTGTTCGTGATTTCAGCCTCATTAAAAGTGATTTTGTGAACACTGAATATTCTATGACAATAAGAATGCTCAAAAAGAGCAAGAATAAAGATATGCAATAAAAATAACGAATGTCTCTAAGACAATACTGTGTGCATCAACTAAATAGGATACACAATTGTCTGATGTATGCATCCGTGTTAAATCGACCACCTACATATCTTGGATACATGATTGTTCTGATAACGTACATGTTTGGCGTATATCTAAAACAAACATATAATAATATTAATTATGATTCATCAATTGCATTCTTAAATAGTTATAATTATTGAAAAAAAGTTTCGTTTAAGATATATAATTTGTTTGCTTACGTTCATATATCTCATATTGAAGAGATATAAAATAAATAAGATTTTGATAGTACGTATTAACAAATTGGCAAAAGTAATATTTATCGACTCAACTTGTCGACTTACCAAAATGTAGTGACAAGATAATATCTTATTCTTCTCAAAATTAAAAATTACCTATTTTCTTGTTTTTCTATTTCTTATTACATGAAGGTATCACTTTTTATAAAATAGAATTGCATCTTTTTACTACTTCTATATATAATTGGAGTTTTGTGTAATTGGATAAGATCTTTCTGAGATATAATCAATCCTTTTGACTGCTAAGAAATATTTTAAACATTCTCCTTGTTAATCAAACAGATGGGAGAGAGTTGCATATAGAAGTAGCATCATTGCACATGCATAACACACTCGTTGACAGTATCGTCGATGTATCATACACACATATTATATACTATAATAGATGTGTGTGTAGAGTATGCGCGTACACATTGAAATATTCCATACCCTCGATAGGAAAAAATTGGGACAACGATCACTTTCAAAGGGTCAAAGATGAAAAGATTTGTTCACTTGGATAGATCATTATAAAAATATAAAGATGAAAACTTTATAACTATTAAAAGAACGTTTAAATATTATGAAACTCTAAAATATTGACAAACAATTTGTAACGCTGTTTCTCTATCAGCCGAACAGCGGAATCCCGAACACGGACCAAAATACTATTTCATTTGGCAACGTTGCAATAAAGCAGGCCCGTATTTGAAAAGTACTGGAACCTGTTTCTCTTTTAAATAAGGTAGTTTATCTTATGTTACGTAGGAAATATTTCAATATTGATATTAACGATCAAACTAAAACGACACGAACAAATCAAGTTTTTGTTATTTATTCAATTAATGTTCACATAATTTTTCACAACTGCTAATATAATACACACATAGGTACATATGTTTGTTAATGGAAAATCTAAATAATATTAAATGGAATTTATTGGAATAATAGTGAAAGTATTTTACCATTTGGAAATATGTTTAAGTTGTAAATTAAATTATTGATTTGATCTTTCGTACGCCCCTGTCACGTTTGTCAAAGAAATTGTATGCTTTTAACCGTGTGTGTCATAAGTTTCGATAATCAAAAGAGTTTAAAGTGGGTGTCTTTTTCTAACTTTACTGGATAACAAAGTGTTCTTAAATAATAAATACAAACAGTGTCATTAAAAATAAACAAATTTACATTTTATGCGGGATCATATTTGATGATATGGTAAGCAGATTATTATCTATTTATAATATACTTTCAAATTAGGTTACCAAGTATAAACAACAGACTTTATTTTAGTTTATTTAGTTTTTTTTACATTTGCTATCTTTTTCATTGTTATATAAATACTTGTTATTAATTTTCTCATTTGTTTCTATTATTTGTACCGATAGAAATTTATTTAGATAATTAATAATATTTTGTCAATAAATTTCATTACTTATATATTGTGTGAGGTAATAATATTGAATAAAACGTTTATTTGTTCATAGAATGTATCGGATGAAATGGAAAAATCATGGGACCGTTCATGGACTACAGAAGAAATGAGAAACAAAAGACAGGAATGGAGTTTGGCAGCTGATGCTGGATTATTAAAACATTTACAACAGTTTTCTGAAGTATGATTCAAGTTAAATATAAGTTTTTTTTTTTCAATCATATGATACATAATACTTTATTATTATGATTTAGAATCTGGTGTCAAAAGCTAATAAGACTCAACAAGCGATAGATTCGTTAACAACTCAATTGGGCGAGACGGCAATAATTATAGATAATTTAACCAACACTTCCTTGGCATTGGCCAATACTCAGTTTATTGAAAGTCGAGTACAAGAAGATGATATAGAAATAGAAAAAAAAGTAGAACAAGAACTACCAAAAACAGATTTTCTTACCAATATAATTGAAAGTGTTAAACAAGGTCTAAATGTAATGGATGAAAAATATAAAAGAATGGAAGTTATTGATAGCGATAGCGAGGATGAAGGTGATGCAAGAGTTATGAGGTTAATATATTTCTTATAAACATATGTATTGTAGAGAATACTAAGACGATAAATTATTTAAAACGTCTTTTTATTACAGCGTTATTTTGGGGCCAAAAGATCCATATCAAGATCGACCTTTGCCTTATGTCATTGGTTCGCATAAGTGGAATACTTCTAATAAAATTGGCTTAGAAAGCAGCAGCAGCGAATCTGAGCAAGTGGACGAAGAAGAGGATGACTCAGAAAGTTATCAAGAGGATGTAAGAATACAAGAAACATTTGATCCAAAAAATGACCCAAACATAGATAGCAGATTGATTTCTTCGTTGAGCGTATCAGAAAAATCAAACGATGCTTCGTATATGAATCCTGGAAAATTAGACAGTATATCTCAAAATACAATGAGTTTTGCATCTGATTGTACAACTCCAATCAAGGATCCACTAAAGGTATCTTTTGTTATTTACTGATTTAAGTTAAAGCTAGCATAATAATGTATTTAGCATAGTTGCAAGATATTTATATAATTTTCAGGTACAGGTTACTAATGAGTCACCTAACTTTGCTGAAGAATTAGCTAAGAGATTAGGCAACGTTCGACAGACTCTAAAACCTCCGATAACGAATGAAACCAGGGAACCTTCTATTAGTAAATTTAAAGGTATTATTTTAATGTTTGTCATATAAGCGTAGATATATGAAAGTAAAAATCACAAAATAATTCCTTTATTTTTAGACGATAATTTATTTACACCAGAAAATGATGGTATAGAAGATTTCTTTAACGATAAACCCAATAATCTGTTTGAGGATAACAAAGAAATTTTTGAAGATAACGTATCGGCTAAGTTATGGCAAAATCAACCTGTTTTTCAATCGAATATTATTCCACCTAGTATGGATGTCCCACCACCTATAAGTACAATATGTACGAGTAATGTATAATAGAGATAAACTATTAACTAATGAAGTCATAATAAATCGAGTCAAGCAAATTTAATATTATTTTAGCGACGAAACCGAAATCAGCGATTGATGATTTATTCGATAAAGGAGATTCAGAAGATTCGGATGATATTTTTTCATCGAAACAACCTGTAAAAAGGATTACGAAAGATGCTACCTCGGAGAGTAAACAAGTTGTAAATACAGAAAATGTACAAAAGAAGTTCCTTGATGTTGTGATTGGCAAGACTACTAAAACCAACTGGGCAACTAGTACACCAGAGTCTAACGTCGAAGCCAATAATCTGTTTAGCGAGGAAGAAGAAGATGACAATGATCTCTTTGGAACTTCTAAAAAGGATTCCAGTAAATTTATGGAAGAAACACAGAAGAATCGCGTTAACACGGAGGATAATAAAAAAAAGGTAAAAGGATATTGTACGAGATAAATATTCTTGTACAGAGGTTTTATTTGTATAATTTTGTTATATTTTTATGTATCAGAAATCGGCCGGCGATCTTTTAATAATCGATGGAGTTTTAACTTCTTCGATCGAGAATGCATTGTCAAGTAAAATACCTCGTTGTCAATCATCGGATTCATCCAGCAGCGACACAGAACCAAATTATGAAGTTGCTTTTAATAATGAACCTTTATTTGAAGATAATTCATTACAGGTTGTCCGCGATCAGAGTTCTATTGCAAGGGCAGGAAATTCAGGAAACTGGAACGTTAATCTTGAAAATAGCGAGAATAGCAGTGGTATATCGATTAAACGTCACAGTATCAGCAGTACAATGGTTACAACAATGCCGTAAGTATTTTGTTTTCTATGTATGTATGTATATGTTTTTTTTCCACATTTAGAATATAAAATATATATTTTTTGAAATAATGTTTATTATAAAGGGAGAAAGAGGGATAGTTAAAGATTACAAATTATTCTTTTAAAATAATATTTTCTCATTGTTACTTTTTGTGATGTCCTTTTTTGAAGACAGTAAACTAGGTAAATGGCAAAGGTATCATTGGTAAAGGATGATATAAAGATTAGTCATCCTCCTGTTTAATGAGTATTTCACTGACAATGAGTAAATGTTACAGTCCAAGGCAAGCTTCTTTAGTGTAATTTTAACTGTCGTTCAGGCAATAACTCTCTTAGATATACGTAAGATTCGATAAAACGGTTACTTTACTGCTAAATATTTCTTTACATGATGTCATTTTCATCTTCCAATCATTTGTAAGTAATTTTTTAATAGTAGTAACATGTTAGCATGACGCATAACTATGTTTTACAAATGGGTCCCGCACAGCATTCCGGATAAGGTTTACTTAAATCTTGTTCTCTATATCCAATAGTTTCTGCACAACTCCATGCTGCACAGCTAAAAAACAAAATCAATGATTTGTAAATCACACATCATATTATTCTCATTTGCATTAAATTTAATTTTCTTAAATTCTATTGACTGTAACTTATTGTTAGTTTTAAATTGAAGGCTAATAAGATAACTTTATTATCGCGAATTACGTGTTAAATAAGAGACTCGAATGTGACGTAAAATGAGGTCGTAAGTCATAATAAAGATAAATAAATATAAGCGTAGCATGTATGAATCGAAATCACATCTTTATTGATATGAGATGTAACTCACCCGACTGCACTAATAGCGCCGGATTCATGGCAAGTGTAACTTATACAATTACGAATATGTTTACCAGGTGGTACTGTCTCACCATCCAAATTACAATCTCCTGAAAAAAAATTTCATTTCGATTCATTAATGTTTAAAAAAATAGATGCATCGGATTGAATTTTCACAAAGATTTTTTTCTTTTTATTCCACAACGCGAGTTTTTTGTAGAGTCTTGTCTTTATTGATATAATATAAGTCTACTATAGTGAGTTTAGAAAGCTTATGTTACACACTATTAATTGAAGTATCTTTGATTGGTATCAGTTTAAATATTCAAGGAAACTCTGACTTTTAAATAGTTTATTGAATTATATTTTTAAACATCCAAACTTTTCAAGAATTTTTATGATTAATATTCGTATGTATAATAAAAGTATTGAATATTATTTACCTTCAACTTGCAAGAAGAAACATAGTGCAAATAAAATTCCCCAAAGTACAAATATAGATCTCATGTTGTCCGCAGAAAAATGAAACGTTTGTCACCGATGGTTCTTTCTGAAACACTGTTAATATTATCGTAATCTCGCTCGTTTTTATATGATGTGTCGAGCTCCAGAAAAAAGTAAATTACATTTATATCACGAAAAGATGAAATTATTTAATAATAATGAATATATGCTTTTCAAGACGAAACAAGTCATTTAAGTGTTATCTTTGGATAAAGTTTCTTTCTATGTCTTTTTATTTTTTATTTTTTTTAACTTTTCTCTGTGAACTCAAGGATGTAAAAAGATTTGTTTATTAATAGTATTTATAAGCAATTACGTACGTGTATACATTTTATAAGACTGATATTAGATTGAAACAAATATCACTTTATGAGAGATTTAATTTAGATACAAAATAACGTTACAAAAACGATTTTTTATAATTAAAATAATATATATATATATATTGTATTTTTATTTATTCCGATCATTTGCAAACAAAGGAAAATGCACATTGGTAAATAATTTAATTTATTCAATTAAACTGTATTTATAAACTGAACTCGTTGGAATATAACAAATGAATTCATGCATCTTAATTACTAATTAATTATGAATGATACTTACCAAGCAATAATCTAAGAAAAAAAGGTCAAAGTAAATGTACGGAGTGTGTTTATGCACAGGAAATAGGGAAAAAAGGCATGACACGTTAAAAATGTTTCAGGAAGTTTATTACAATGTAAATAATATTTTTTTATATGGTCAGATAAGGAAGCGACACTTTATATTTATGTATCTATGGTTGATCCGCGTTAAGTAAGCGAAATTATAATTAACTTGAATTAAAAGATCACCTGTATATACATACGTAAATATGCATATAGTGACTTATGAGTTATCGGAATATTTTTAAAAATTCATTTCCTAAAAAAGCAGTGTATTTCGATACACGTTACTCTAGTATGATAATTGAATGGAAATATTAATTCAAATGGTATTAGCCATGTGCAATTTGTTTTTCTTCAATTTCTAATTTCACACACACACATATTATAGAATTAACATTAACTTTAGGACTTTTTTTATATTTGCAGGACAGATGATGTATTGACATCAACACGTTTAAATTCGGAAGAATTTTATCGTGAGAGAATAATCGGCGATAGTCTATTTGTTGCCAACACTTTGCATCCTTCGGATGTTAATTCTACTTCATTCAGGACATCGAACAATCAATCAAACGTGGAACAAACAATAGAAAATAATTCTACAGGATTAGATGACGTATTTGAGAATAAGGATCTCTTTGGTCCACCACCTCTTCCTAAAGCAGATTCTAAAACGAACAAATCGAAGATCCCTTCTCTCTTCGACGATTCAGATTCGGGTGATGAACTTTTTTCTAGAACTAGTTCTGGTTCAAGGTCACAAAAGAGTACAGACTTTTTAGCTACGACTCCTCAATATCCGGACAAGAATAGATCGTTCAATAGTAAGGGACTTTTTGACGATGATATCGACATTTTTGGTAATAAAGATTCACCGGACGTCGATATATTCGGAAATTCTTTGAAACCTTACAAAAATAACACAATTGCTTCAAAAAGAGTCCAGGATATTGCATCTAATAATTTTTCAATTGATAAAAATCATGGTACGAACGTTTCAAAAGAAAGTAACATTATCAAATTACCTGCTAAGTCAACAACGTCAACGAAGAAGAATAGTCTATTCGATGATGAGGAAGATGATAATGTTGACGATTTGTTTGGAGTTAGAAAGACAAAAGTCAAAAGCAAAGTCGAAGACAACATTTTTGCTACCGATCCTGAAAACAATTTATTTTCTGTGAAACCATCGACGATGACGATAGACGTGATGGATAAGAAAACCTTGTCTCGGGAAGAAGAAACTAAGGTGGAAGATATTAAACATCAATCTTTATTGTCGGAAGAGACGTCGTTGGAAGGAACAGCCAACAACTTTGTATTCACAACTAAGCAGGATAAAGAACAGGACAATCAAAAGAAGGACGCCCTCTTTGAAGAGGACGACTATGAAGATTTGTTTGTTAATGATAAGAAAGATAAGAAAAAAGTAGAAGTGGAAAATAAAGTAGAAAATAGCAAGGAATCGAATCAACTCATTTCAAAGAAAGAGTCAGTTCAAGTTGAGGTCAAGTTTTCTGATAACTTTGATGATAATAATAGTGTGGATGTTGATAATAAAAAGCATCCACCAACAACGTTAAGCATTCGTGCTACTACGTCATCGTCAGTAGAAGATAATTCTCAAATGCCACGACGAACAACGGTGTCAGGAAAGATAAAAGATCTAATGGGTAAAATGGGTGATTTGAAAATTCTTTCTCCTACTGATACACCACCGTTGTGGAGAAAGAACGAAGAGAAAACAGATGAAGAGGATGAGGTTATTGATAGGGACAGCGATGATGGGGGTTGCATTGCTAAACCAATTCAAACTCCGTCAACAGGTAAGAGAAAGAGAGGGAAATAGATATATATATATATAGAGAGAGAGAGAAAGAGAGAGAAAGATTAATATACACATATAAATATATATTTTTTTCCAACAGAAAAGAACGAACTTTTGAAACAACAGATTCGGCCAAATGGAAATGGTAACACCGAAAGTGCAATTAGTTTTGATGTACCAGCACAAGTAGAAACACTTTCGACTGCCTCAAAGGTAATTATAAAATAATGATATTTATTTAAAAATCGATATTTCTTATTTATTTGAGAAACAGTGAGTTTCAACATGATTGAATACAAGTCATCATTCAAATATGCTTACGTAGGTTGTTGTATTGCGTATATTTCTTGTAGTATTGTCTTTTCAATAATTTATTAAGTATTCGTTTGTGTTTATTGTTACAGAGTCGAGTGAGAATTCAAGCAAAACGTCGACCTCAGAGTAGGCATGCACGAAAATCCGCTCTCAGACAAAGTGGTTTAGATTTTGATACCGTCGATGCGACTGAAAAAATTCCTCAAGATGAAAGTTCTGTTCTTTCGAAAGAGTCGTCGAATAATTCGACGGGTCATGGGATAGTTCCTCCAAACGATGATCGTTTGACTTTATCTTCCTCGAATTTCGTCGATAATACTCTGCGAAACGTAGAATTAAATCCTTCGATCGGTGATGATAAATCTGAGCTTGGAAGTATTAGTAAAGAAAGTTCGACAAGCGCGAACAAGAATATCTTGTTATCTCCATCAACTGATGAAGAAGATTTGTTTGACGTACCACCAGATTTACCGGAGGACCCACAAAGGGAAGATGCATTATTTGGAAGAGCACCAATACTTTCACCGATTAAAAATGTCTTGCCTGATAGAGAGCCAACATATGGTAGACCTTTGAGAGATACTATCATTGGTGGTAACGATGAAAATGAAGAAACTGTTAGAAAAGATTCGATTAAATCTGAGCTGAGTAGTCATAATAATTCTATATCTGATACTAGTTTTGATATGGATGATAATGAAAAGAAAATTGAAGTAAGATCGAATGAGATAGAACGTCTTACGAAATTTCAAGAGACTAGAACTGAACAAATAGATGATTCGACGGATACTACGAATGATGTATTTGAACAAGAGTATTTAAAAGGACCGATAGATCCTTTGCACGATAATACTTACGATCCTTTAAAAGATCCAAGTCAATTGTTTGCGTTTGTAACGAAAACTCCTTCTCCTGATACAGGTAAAGATTTATTATTTTCGGATGATGACAGTCTATTTAGTAGTCGGTCCATCAAAACGAAGAGAGAAGAATCGATGAGAAAACAGGTTACTAATTTATTCGAGGACGATGCAAGTGGTGATCTATTTTCGGTTCCTTTACCAAAACCTGTGAAAAAGACTTTGAAAGATACCAAAATCAGTTTCTTCGATAAAGACTCGAACGATCAGAACGACGAAGATGACAATTTGTTTGGTTCTATCGCGAAAAAGATGTCTGTTAAAAACGAAGAAGAGAAAAGTATTGTAACGACGAAAGTTTCAAAAAAGAAAATCAATCTTTTCCAAAACGATGACGAAGATGACGATGACGATGCCAAAAGTTTGTTCGCAGAACAACAACAATCAGTACAAACGCCAAAAGTCGAATTATCCAAAGTACCTCAAGAATCAGGAAAACTTGAAAGTATTTTGTCCGTTGATGACAAGTCTGTTAACAAACCTTCCAAATTGGCCGACATATTTGGCGATCAATCAAGTACCGAAGACGATATATTTACTTCTATAAAACCAGTTTCCAAAAAGATAATACAGAACAAGTCATTGTTCGCGACTGATAGTGACGATGATGATAGTAAATTTTTCGGTAAATCATCATCTTTGGTAGAATCCACACCAAATGAAAGTAGACCAATCGTTAAAAAATCTGTCACGCGAGACCTTAAAAAAACGGCAGAAAAGATAGTCGAAGATCCTTTAAGTATATTTAAAGATGATTAAAATTTTACTTATTCGTAAGTGTATATTTATCACATTTTGTTTTTAAAATAACAATTTTTTTTTTTTCGACATGCTGTTGTTGTCGTCCTTCGACTTTTAAATTGATAGATGTGAAAATTCGGTGGCATAAGCATTAAAAATAAAAATAAAGATAATATAATATAATATAATACAATAATATATATATAATAATATAATATAATATAATATAATAATAATATAATACAATAAAACCTAACACACACACACACAGAGAGATAGAACAACGCAACAGAAAATAACAAAATCGCAGTTGAACGCAACA